GTATGGTACAAAAAGTGAATGAATGAAAAGTTAGGATCCCGGACACATTCAGACAAGATATTGAGAATTCCTGTTTACCCTATTTACCATATTGTTTATTGTTATTATTCACAATACCGTTTATCGTACATTATTTATAGAAACATCACTAAACGGCATTGAACACCAATCGTCACTGATAGCTATGTTTTTATTTTTAAATTAATCAAAACTTCATCGTTTATTCGATATCATGAGTATATATAGCCTTGTATTTCTTTTACCGATAGATAAATATTGTTTAATATCTCAACCATAGTCATTTGTGTGTTTTTCCATACACATCTATACTGTTATAAAGAGGAAAGAATTGCATCTATGTATATATATATTTGATTCACAGAAGTTTGAGAGTAGCCCCAGTGGTAGAGTAGTAAGGAGTAAAAGGTTAGCATGGTATGGGCATGTTACGAGGAGGGATGAATCGCATGTTACAAGGAGAACGTTAGTTATGAGTGTGGAGGTAGACATAGAAAGAGATGGATGGATTGCCTGAAAGGTGACATGATCAAAAAGGGAGTGATGACTGAGATGACGTATGATAGAGTTATGTGGAGGACAAAAACCTGCTGCGCCGACCCTACGGGAGTAGGATAAGGAGGATGATGATGATGTATATATTCGATTCACGTAAAAACTGGGCCGATTTTAAATCTTTCACCGTTAAAAAATTAATTTATCTGTGAGTAACAACAGCTATCTTACTAATATTATAAATGTGAAAGTATAGATGGACGGATGAATGTTTGTTAGAGTTTGTAGCCTAAACGGCTGAACGGATCTCGATGAAATTTGGCATGTAGAGGGTAGTCTGGAAGAACAAATAGGCTACTCAGTTTTGTTTTTATTTTTAATTCCACGCAAACGGAGTCGCGAGCAACAGCTAGTGATTAATAAACGTTACACACAAACTCGAATTGTTTATAATAAATGTATGTAAAATAGTCCATTATCCGGTATCACTTCAGGCGACATGAGTTAAACGTTTACAATATTTCATCCTTCGAACCTTGATCCGACATCTCAAGTTCACTGGACTTTCAATTGATTACTCGCTTGCGCCTTCGACTTCGTCAGCTTGAAATTAAAAAAATAATTAAAAATGTAGCCTATGTTACACACAGATAAATTACCTTTCTAACGATGAAAGAATTTAAAAAAATCGGTCCAGTTTTTGAGTTATTTCAATTCGTACAAAAATAAATCCTTTCCTCTTTATTATATTAGTGTAGATTAAACTAGTAGTAAATGTGCAAATATTCATGTCTTCTGCATCACAATTCACGCCAATAACCCAGTAAAGTATGGGTGGAAAATTTGTTCACTAAGGCCATGTCCCACCAAATTGTAAATTGTCTGGTAACAATCCAACGTTTAAAATATATCGGATTTTGTTTCCTTATCAATGACATAATTTTTAGGCTATCTGTGGTGGGACAGGCCCTAATTCTCGTCTTAACTTTTAGCCTTGTTTTAGATAATACAAAAATAAACTGTGTAATCCTACACGAAAAAACTACAAATAGTACAATATTCAGTTTTCTGATAGTAGTATGTTTGTATTTTGATGGCCTTTCTATACTACGGTTTTATACGTCCAGTTGGCTTTATCTTTCTCATATGTGAATTGTTCACATGACTGAAGTGCAGTGGGTTAGTGTGCCAAGGTCCTTATGCCTTATTAGTGCTGTACCAATGTATCACATTAATTTATTAGAGTTTTTACAGCGATAATTATCATTTAAAGGTAGTTGTATACCGAGCGCTAAATTCTATCATAGCGTCGCTTAGACTAATGTAATAAACGCCATCTAGTTAGTTATTCATAAAACTATACTTTTCAAGGTTACACGGTAATGTTTTTGTTTTGTTTTCCAAGTATTGTATATTTTTCCGGATACGTTTTTATCAAAGTCCACGAAGGAAAAACTCTTAGTAAAAATACAGTTAAAGGAAAAAGGTTAATTACCACGTCTAGATATCTTAAAATGTCTTCAGGTCGATGTAAAGGTTTTTTAACGACTTGATTGGTTTTTAATTATTTTCAATGAAGGTTCGCGTGCCTACGTGACCGATTAGTTGTTCAAGTGTAGTTAGAAGACAATTCTAAACTCTAATTTGTTGTGTTACGTTGATTAATTGATCTGGAAATACAGGAAATAGCTTGGTCTTTTAAACCCCTAATATGTAACATTTAGTGCTAGCTGTTGCTCGCGTGAAATAAAAAAATAGCCTACTAGATTTCGCCCGCGACTCCGTCCGCGCGAAATAAAAACACAAAAACAAGTAGCCTATGTGTTCTTCCTATCCTCTACATCTATGCCAAATTTCATCGAGATCCCTTCAGCCGTTTAGGCTTCAAACTCTAACAAACATCCATCTAAACTTTCGCATTTATAATATTAGTATTAGTAAGATTACTCACTGATACCTTAGCTTTTTAATGATGAAAGAATTGTTGAAATCGTCCCAGTAGTGTTTGATATATTTAAATATTTTCAATACATACAAATATATAAATCTTTCCTTTTTATATTAGTAGAGATATAGATAGTCACGAGCCTTAGATAAAAGATGCATTTATTTAACAAACGTTATCCCAGCAATTATCAATAGATAGATATAGGAAATATACCAATATTTAAAATGTATCTATTGTTTACAATATTTACGTATTCAATTAAAAGTTAAATATGAAGCTTAGGGCTGTCCCACGACTGACTGATAGAGGCTCAGATAGCTTAAAAATGACGCAACTGTCAGAATCAAACAAAATCAAATATTTTCATCACATATTTCACACTTTGGATTAACAATTTACAATTTGGTGGGAATCGTTTTTTTTTTTGTTCCTAACTTAACTTTTAGTACGGCAACCCTAATGCCCATTATATTGTAGGGCCATAATAGCAGATGTTAGGTGATTTTTATTTTATAATTGGTTACCACGATCGAAATATTAATCGAGATTAATCGATCGGCTATTCGATTGAATATTAGTAATCGCAATGGAATTAATATTGATACAACGTGGCTTCGTTAAGGAGTGCTAAGGTTAACTGGACGGCATGTGAGGCCGTACCACGTTTTACCTTTACTTAAAACGTATTGACCCTTACTCACGTTTTCAAATACTAGAGATTTAATTCTTTATCTTAATTCTTACTAATGTAATAAATGCGAAAGTTTAGATGGATGTTTGTTAGAGTTTGTAGCCTAAACGGTTGGACGGATCTCGATGAAATTTGACATAGACGTACATGATAGTCTGGAAGAACACATAGGCTACTCACTTTCATTTTTAATGCCACCCGGACGGAGTAGCGGGCGAAATATTATAAATGCGATAGTTTAGATGGATGGATGGATGGATGTTTGTTAGAGTTCCTAGCCTAAAAGGCCGAACGAATTTCGATTAAATTTCGTATAGATGTAGAGGGTAGTCTGGAAGAACATATAGGCTACTCACTTTTGATTTTTTTTATTATACGGAGTCGCGAGCAACAGCTAGTAGTTTATAAAGATATTTCATGCAACCAAAATGCCTAATGTGTGGCGGATGCATTATCGACCATCTGTTAAAAATAAAACAAAAACACATCTCTTTCAGATGACAGAAACATTTTTTTTATAACAATACTAGCTGTTGCTCGCGACTTCGCCCGCGTGAAATTAAAAATTATAGCCTACGTTACTCATAGATAAATTACCTTTCTAATGGTGAAAGAATTTTTGAAATCGGCGCAATAGTTTTTACGTGAATCGAATACATATAAATATACAAATTACACGTTTATAATATTAGTATGAAGTGAGAAGAAACTAGAAAATAAATTATTTCCTTTGCATCTGACACTAGATTACGTCGTCAATGTTATTTACAAGTAATAGAACAATACACTAGGGATAGTAACGGCCTTCCTACTAATATATCTTCCGTAATATAAAATCCAATTTATTATCACTTTACTAACAAAAAGCCAAGAGTAATACGGTTATAAAAACATTTTCTTATCCTTCATGTATTTGTAATTATCATTTTGCCGTAAAAGAAGTGAGCTGATGATGATGATCCTAGGCAAGATTTGTATTTTCGTATGTATTAAAATAACTCAAAAAGTATTGGGCCGATTTCAAAAATTCTTTCACCATTGAAAGGTACGTCACCAGTGAGTAACATAGGCTATATTTTGTACTAGCTGTTCCCATGCAGCTTCATCCGCAGGTATTTATAAAAAATTCATTTATTGTTTACATTTGTCAATTTATCAATTGCAAATGTCAAAATGTTATGACACGATGACAACCTTGCTTCCTTGATTTTGGCAGCAACTTATGGTCTCTTTCCCACATTAGGGTTTTTATCCAAAATATTTACCCCCTAAGTTTAATGGCGTTAAAACATAAAGTCTAAAGCGTGACGTAAGTGTAGGACTTTTTATTAATAAGACAATTATTCAAAGATATGCTGCAATTGCTGATATCTTAGGCAACAAAGAAGTGTGTGTTTACGCTTTATTATAATAGTATAGAAGTATAGATTATGTTTTATATTCACACGGGCGAAGTCGCGAAATGCTAGTAACATACTTTTGAATCTATTCGGATTACCGGCTTCAGAATTTCCTGTTGCCCGTTTAACAATGAGAGAGCAATCACCATAGTTTTGGCATAGGGCCTGTCTCACCACTGGGTGATAGAGGCTCAGATAGCTTAAAGATGACGTCACTGTCAGATAAAGAAACAAAATCCGATATTCCATCACACGTTTGAAACGTTGGATTGTTATCAAACAATTTACAATTTGGTGGGACAGGCCCTAAATAGACTCAGGCCTTATCTAGTACTAATAGCCTTTCCATATAAGTCAAGACTATGCAAAAACTATAGCCGTGATAGAGTGTATCGCCTAGATCACCTTGGACGAAGGTCGATGGAGCCTTGCGTTTGTTTGTAAAACAAGCGTCGGTAAATAATAGGACAGATTACCAGAGAAAGCTGAGCACGTGACACAAAATCGTAAATATATTTTAAATTTAACAGGTTCATAAAGATTGGGTTAGTCTATGGTTTTGCTTTGTTTTTTTGATGTTTGCGCATTATCCTTTTTGCTGAGTAAATTGTGAACGAACCTTCACTCGTACTTATTCCTATGTAAATAAACTCCAAATTTACGACAAATATTGCCCTAATAATAAATCTAACGTAATAAATATTTAAATTTTATGGACTAAGAAGAAATCTGTCCATTATTTTTAAGTAAGTCGAAATCTACAATAATTTGAGCGATCGTATTTATTCGCGTAAGGTTATATTTACGATTTTTTTTATTACTATCTATACGTGAATGAAGAATAAAATTTAAAAAGTTATTTATTTTTAAAATGTATTTCTTATCAATAAATTAAACAATTGCATTCATTTATTAACGAAGAAAACATATGTTTACAATTATTGTTTACAGTCATTATCGAAAAATATGTGTTGTATAAAATAATAAGCAATGAAAAGGAAATTTATAAGTCTACCTTGAAAAGCGTGAAATTTAACTATTGTAATTATTAATCTGTAAAATAAACAAAATGATTCCTACCTTATTAAATTACTTGTTTGTCATCACTGCTTCATTTTGAAGAATTAATCACATAAAAACAATAATCACTTTCTATTAGCGGGAATAATGAAATGTCACAAGACACACTAAGCATTTATGTGAAAGTTTTCGAGTGACAATTGTTAATTCAACAAACGAATTGAAAAATTTTGTATGAAAATAAATACGAACACATGTAATTATTTCCGTGTTGTAAACGCGATTGCCGCTTGTGGAACAATACTCGATTCGTTTATCTCCGAGGTTAAAAACCATTAACAGTTTCAGCGCCATCTATGTTTGTATTAGTATATCACATGGATCGATGGATGTTTGTTAGAGTTTGTAGCCAAAACGGCTGAACGGATTTTAATGAAATTTGGTATAGATATAGAGGATAGTCTGGAAGAATACATAGGCTACTCACTTTTGTTTTTTTAATTCCACGCGGACGGCGTCGCGGGCGAAAGCTAGTCCTGTCATAAAGTATTAAATTACGTTCGATTTTTCTTATATGCTCATTAAATAATAGGGAAAGATTTAATAAAATTAAAAATCAGGATATCTATCTTTCCACTCATTCGAAAGTTAGATGTATGGATGGATGTTGAGTTTGCCGCCGGAACAGCAGAACGGATCTAGATGAAATTTGAAATAAGTACAGAACAGTCTGGAACACGTAAGCTACTTACTTTTGAGTTATTTTTTTTATTTTAATTCCATGTGGACGGAATTGCATTAGAGTTTTTTTTAGTAAATAAACAAGTGGAGCTGTAGATCTGAGATAACTTTAACAATTAAAACGACCAGTTTAGGTATAAAAAAAAACAAACAGTATTCTGAATAAATTTGTATTATTATGAGTTGCTTACAATCAATGTTTACATTAAGATTTTTTTGTAACAATGAATCTACATCAAAATAGTAAATCAATAAACGTAACATAATTTTTATTATATATATAGGACAACGTGGCAAAGAGGCAAGCGGCTACCGGAATACGCCAAAATAGTGACACATCAGGAGGGGACGCTTAGAAAAAGGACGTTACTTATGCGCCCTAATTCCCGCCAATTTTGCCCCCCCCCCTTCTTTTCCCCTTCCCATTGCCACTGACATGCCATGGTTATAGAATAACGATATAATTTGTATTTTTTTTTCTCTTAACGAAATAATGATTAATTTTTTTCCTCCATAGTATAAGTAAAAACTTGTAATCGGTAGTGATACTTTAATCACTGTCACTATCATAATAACTTCTTCTTCTATTTGCACCGAACATGAATCCGAAAACATTCATCATTCGATTAAATTGTTGTTCTCTGCGATGTTGAATAATATCTGGCATTAAGCGCTGCAAACGTATTTGTGCTGCAGTTTTACTTTCCCTGTGTTCCGCGGACTTTGTGTGTGTTAACATCGCGGACCAGGGCGAGTGCAGGCTATTGCAGTAGCCGCAGTGAAAGTGTTGGGGCTTAATCTGTAATGTTAGTAAAACAAAAAATGTACTCGCCGAAAGATGGCGTCATTCTTAATTGTTGTAATTCGAAAAATAAACTTCTTATTCTAAAATGATATCCAACAAATAATTTAAAAAAAATTAACCATTTGAAGAAAAAGTAAATGAAATCGTTATAAGGTTTAAAAGAAATAAATAGAAAATATTTTCTTACCTCTCTTATAAACTCGCTAGGAAGTTCCCTCAGTACGAAACACTCGGTAGATATTTTTTTATGATAATACTGTTCTTTATGGGAATCTAAATCATGAGTAAATATTTTTTTATCGCAGATGAGACACTTCAATTTATTATTCTCTTCTACCAGAAACGAGAAACTAAGGAGACTTACACATATACTGTCATTCAAGACTACACATTTGAAGATCCCTTCTAGGAAAACAACGCTCTGTACAAAATCTTCTACAATAATTTTAAGAGGTCCTGTATGAGATTCGTTAGTATTTCCGTATAATGCAACCTCTAAATGTTGTTTATTAATTGCTTTCAAATGAGCTGAACCAGAAACATGTTCTTGCAAGCATTTCAAAGAAGTTGGTATGTTGACTTTGCATTTATTACAGTATACTTTATCATCATTATCTAAGTAAGTCATATCATTTTCATTTGCAAATTTCTTTGCTTCTAAAGTAGACGAAGATTCTTTTATTTTTCTTGCTTTAACATTTTTAAGTACTACTTCGTTTTGTTCAAATTCCTCTCCATTTCCATTTTCTTCATCTTGTTGTCTTGGCATCTGAATGTCTTTTAAATCCTCCTTATTTTCATTTTCTTCATCTTGTTGTCTTGTCATCTGACTGTCTGTTAGTTCCTCCTTATTTTCATTTTCTTCATCTTGTTGCATCCGAATGTTTTTTAATTCCTCTCCAATTCCATTTTCTTCTATTTCTGTCATTTTTACTGAATCTGGTTGTTTATTATTCTTCTCATTATTATTATCATGCGTATTTTTAGTTATATTGAGATTATCAGTCACTTTAAAGTTTTCTGAATTTTCAATAGAAGCACTAGGGGCTGCAGTTTCCGTACCAATTTCAACTTTATTCTTATCTGAGTTTAATTTGTTTTGTTCGCGACATCTTTGATACAGATTCTTGTGTTCATCATCATTAAAATGGACATCTATCGAGTTGAATGCAACAAGCTTATTGCATGTTAAACAATGGAAAATATTATCATCCACCTGAAACAATATAGAATTCGCAATTTCAAATATAAATTTGATATATGACAAACCTGTTTTTTTTTTAAATCAAGTAACTTCAAGTCTTTATAACAGCTCACATAATTTGTGCTTGGTTAAATAAATTGATAAATGAATAGTACATTTTTGGATAGCAGTCGAGCTTTCTATTATTAAAAGGTCTTTTATATCTAATCGTGGAAGCTTAGAAAATAATGCAATAGGTACTTACTCTGCGAAATAAATTTTGATTTTCGTCATATTCGAGTTTACTCTGAATGAGCTTCAATATGTGTGTAGTCTCGTTCCTGTGAATGTGTTCGTCGTCGAACTCTGTGTTG